AAACCCCATCTGAGACCCCCCAAACCCCACCTGGGACCCCCTAAAATCCACCTGTGCCCCCCCAAACTGCCCTGGTGTGTCCCCCCCCCCAGGGCGGTGCCCGGTGCTGGAGCAGAAGGAATTCGGGGCCGCGCTCCGGGATGAACCCTGCGGGAAGGAAACGGCCCCGGGACACGCCGGGCTCTGCAGGTGCCACTGGGGGCACTGGGAGGGACTGGGAGGGCACTGGGAGGGCACTGGGGGGCACTGGGAGGGCACTGGGGGGCACTGGGAGGGCACTGGGAGGCACTTGGGGGGCACTGGGAGGGGGTTTGGTGGGTACAGGAGGGGTCTGGGGGGCACTTGGGGGGCACTGGGAGGGGATTTGGGGTGTTCAGGGGGAGTCTGGGAGGGAAATATGGGGGAAGTTTGGGGAGCGTTTGGTGGAAAATTGGGCAAAAATGGGGAAGTTTGGAGGGAAATTGAAGCAAAAATGGGGGAATTTGGGACAAAAATGGGGAAGTTTGGGGAGCGTTTTGTGGGAAATTGTGCAGAAATGGGGAAGTTTGAGAACATTTTAAGGAAAATTGGGCAGAAATGGGGAAATTTGGAGGGAAATTGAAGCAAAAATGTGGGAATTTGGGACAAAAATCAGTGAGTTCGTGGGAGATTTTGTGGGAATTTGGGACAAAAATGGGGAAGTTTGGGGAACGTTTGGTGGAAAATTGGGCAGAAATGGGGAAGTTTGTGGGAGATTTTGTGGGAAATTGGGCAAAAATGGGGAAGTTTGGGGGGAAATTGAAGCAAAAATGTGGGAATTTGGGACAAAAATGGGGAAGTTTGGGGAGCATTTTGTGGGAAATTGGGCAAAAATGGGGAAGTTTGGGGGAAATTTTGACAAAAATTGGGCAGAAATGGGGAAGTTTGGGGAGAATTTTGTGGGAAATTGGGCAGGAATGGGGAAGTTTGGGAACATTTGGTGGAAAATTGGGCAGAAATGGGGAAGTTTGTGGGAGATTTTGTGGGAAATTGGGCAGAAATGGGGAGGTTTGGAGGGAAATCGAAGCAAAAATGTGGAAATTTGGGACGGAAATTGAAGCAAAAATGTGGGAATTTGGGACAAAAATGGGGAAATTTGGGGAACGTTTTGGGGGAAAATTGGGCAGAAATGGGGAAGTTTGGGGAACATTTTGTGGGAAATTGGGCAGAAATGGGGAAGTTTGGAGGGAAATGGAAGCAAAAATGTGGGAATTTGGGACAAAAATCGGTAAGTTTGTGGGAAATTGGGCAGAAATGGGGAAGTTTGGGGAACATTTTGTGGGAAATTGGGCAGAAATGGGGAAGTTTGGGGAACATTTTGTGGGAAATTGGGCAAAAATGGGGAAGTTTTGGGGTTCCCGGGGGGTCCCTGGGGGTCCCTCCCTCACCGCCGGGTCCTCCCGTCCGCCAGGGGTCACTACAGCGAGTACCTGGTGGGGCTGGTGAACCGGCACGGGCTGGACCCGGCGCCTCTCTATGACCGGGCCGAGCTGCGCGCGGCCGCCGAGCGCCACCTGCCGGCCGGGAGGACCCGGCGCGGCCCCGCCGAGAGCGACGCCGCCTTCGAGCAGCGACTGCGCCACCTGCTGGAGAGGGAGGCGCCGCTAAGGCCACGCCCCCCCGGCCAGGGACACGCCCCCTTATGCAAATGAAGGGTGTGCTGAGCCACGCCCGCTTTTATGCAAATAAAGGTATATATGTCTGCTCGTTAGAGGTGGAGCCACGCCCCTTTTTATGCAAATAAAGATATATATGTCTGCTCATTAGAGGTGGAGCCACGCCCCCTTTTATGCAAATAAAGATATATAGGCCTGCTCGTTAAAGGTGGAGCCACGCCCCTTTTTATGCAAATAAAGATATATAGGTCTGCTCATTAAAGGTGGAGCCACGCCCCTTTTTATGCAAATAAGACAATATGTCCGCTTTTGACGGTGAAGCCACGCCCCCTTTCGCACAAATAAGCTCCACCCACCTGAGGGAGAGGCCACGCCCCCTTTATGCAAATCGGTACCTGCTGGTCGGATACCGAACCCCGTTTTGTTCGTGTCTTTGTTGGTGGCAGAGCCACGCCCCCTTTTATGCAAATGAAGTCCAAATACATCCACCTGTGGGCAACCACGCCCCCTTTTATGCAAATAGCGTCCATATGAATCTACCTGTTGGAAGAGCCACGCCCCCTTTTATGCAAATGAAGGCCATAGAGGGGCACCAGCTGGAAGAGGAGGTGGAGCCACGCCCCTTTTCATGCAAATGAAGTCCATGTACATCCACCTGTGGGGAGCCACGCCCCCTTTTATGCAAACAAGGGCCAGATGTGTCTGCCTGCTGGGAGAGGCCGAGCCACGCCCCCTTTTATGCAAATGAAGACCATATATGGCCAACTGCTGGAAGAGGTGGTGTGACCACGCCCCTTTATGCAAATAAAGCCCAGATGTGGCCACCTACTGGGTGAACCTTTAGCCCCGCCCCTTATGCAAATAACCCCGTGTATGGCCGGCGCGTCACGTGACAGTGAGGCCGCGTGCTGATTGGTGGAGAGGGGAGGGGGCGGGGCCTGAGGGGCCTCAAAAGTGGCGGGAAGGGCCTTCAAAGAGCCCTCGGGTCCCTCAGTGGTGTCTCCATGGCCCTGAGGGTCCTTCCGTGTCCCCTTGAGTCCCTCCATGGCCCCTCAGGTCCCTCTGTGTCCCCTCAGGTTCCTCCCTGTCCCCTCAGGTCCCTCCGTGTCCCCTTGAGTCCCTCCATGGCCCCCCAGGTCCCTCAATTGTCCCTCCATGTCCATCATTGTCCCTCCCAGGTCCCTCCATGTCCCCTCAGGTCCCTCAATTGTCCCTCAGGTCCCCTCAGGTCCCTCCATCTCCCCTCAGGTTCCTCAATTGTCCCTCCGTGGCCCCTCAGGTCCCTCAGTGGTGCCTCCACATCCCCTCAGGTCTCGCAATGGTCCCTCAGGTCCCTCCGTGTCCCCCCAGGTCCCTCCATGGTCCCTCTGTGTCCCCTCAGGTCCCTCTGTGTCCCCTTGAGTCCCTCCATGGCCCCCCAGGTCCCTCAATTGTCCCTCCATGTCCATCAATTGTCCGTCCATGGCCCCTCAGGTCCCTCCATGTCCCCCCCGGGTCCCTCCAGGTCCCTCCATGACCCCTCAGGTCCCTCAATTGTCCCTCCATGTCCATCAGTTGTCCCTCCATGACCTCTTGAGTCCCTCAATGGTCCCTCCATGGCCCCTCAGGTCCCTCCAGGTCCCTCCATCCCCCCCAGGTCCCTCCATGTCCCCCCAGGCAGGAGTGCCAGTGGAATCCTGGGGTTCTGGGGACCCTCAAGGGCCCTTCATGGATCTCCCGTGGCCCGAGGCTCCCCCACCCCTTGGACAAGGACCTCCTGCCCAAAAGAAAAGGTATTTATGGTTTTTCTTTGGTTTAATTGGTTTAATTTGGTTGAATTTACCCCGTAAGATGAGGCAGGACGCTGTTCTCACAAGGTCAACCAGAAAGGACACCTGAAAAGAGGCAAAAAACCTCTGTCTGGTATAACCCAGATTTGGTTTTCATTGCTTGGATTTGACCAAAAATTATTCATTTTGACCTGAAGATTTGGGAGGCTGATAACCCTCAAGGTTCCTTTTGAATTATTTTAAGATTTGGGATTGTTTCCTTTGGGTTTTCTCCAGACAAAGGGGTTTTAGGACCCAGAGGAGCCTCCTTTGGTTTCCTTCCAGTCCCGCCGAGGAATCCCTGGAATGCTGAAGCTGGAGATCAATGTCCTGTGGGTCTCTGTTTTGTTTCATTTTCCAGGCTTCGTTGTGTGTTAAAAGTCGTGTTTTTTTTGTTTATTCACGGGAAATAACCTCGAAGGAGGAACAGAAACTCCCCCGTGCCCGTTTGAAACTTAAATAATTAAGATTTGTCCTTTTTAACCGTGAGATTGCAACAGACACATTTAAAAAGATGCAAAGGAATAAGGTTAAATCGAACTTTAAATTCATTTTGCGTCGGGTGTGATGACAATCAGAGCTCGGAAGAGACCGAGGGAGTGAATTTTGTCGTCGAGCAACTGAGAGCTGCGGGATTTTTTTTAAGATTCGCTCAAATGGAGCAGAACACGCATTTCGTGGTCTGCGGGGACATCTCGTGGGTTTTATGCGGTAAAACAATTCGAGTGTGAGGGGGAGCTGCGAATTTCGTGGTCTGCGGGGACATCTCGCGGTTTTATGCGGTAAAACAATTTTATTGTGTGTGTAAACTGCGTATTTCGTGGTCTGCAACGACATCCTGTGACCTGGAACGTGCAAAACTCATAAAATAAACAATTTTAAAGAACTTCCCGGGTGTGTGAAGGTGTCTGAGCGGGAGCCTCAATTCGCGGCCACAGAAGGACGAAAGGAGGGAGAATTTAACCCACGAAGTGCCGGGAGAGAGTAAGAAACACTTAAAGACGGTGGAATAGATGAAGGAAAGTGATGAAATTTAAAATAAAGTTTGATTATATAAAAGAAGCCGCTCGGCTGGACGAGGAAGGACATCGGGGATTTTGAATAAAGGGCCCAGAGACAAGAAGTGCTTGATTTAAGAGTGGATCTGAGTGGGTTTATAAGACAATTAGTTGAGAGAAGAGACGAATTAGGGTCCGACCCTCAGTGATTCAGAGTGTTTGCAACTGGGAACCGGATTGGGAACAGGACCCCTGGGTCAGCCGGTTTTGGGGTGACCCCAGAGGAGGTTTCTGGGAGTTTTTTTGGGGGTGACCTCGGGGGGTTTTTGGGGTGAACCCGAAGGATTTCGGGCTGACCCCAGGGGAGGTTTCTGGGGTTTTTTTGGGGGTGACCTCGGGGGGTTTTTGGGGTGAACCCGAAGG